TCGATGTTCCTAGCTAGAGACGGTTGAATGTTCATGACCCGTATTGCACAATACAATGGTACATATGTGGTGGGATCGTGGCATATACTGCCCAACGCTCATACATGTGTCCAGTATCTGAATCGCCGCTTTTGGCGGTGCTCGTATTCATCTGCGTTTCTACGAGCGCAAACACTCGAACCTTGACCGCTGACGTCCATCCGCTACCGCACCACGGCTTGCTGCCCAGCAACTCATCGTGTCAATCCGTCCTAAGCTTCAAGACCCCTGACACCCACTAGCAGATTGTGCGCACTCGTAAAGCAGGACATAGATTGACAGTGACTTTCCTGCCCTGAGAGCAAAATGGCTTGCACGTGCATCTACTGACAATATTCACTCTACAATAGTAGTGGGTTTTGGATTCGCAAAAGCAACATCGGGTGTTTGAGTGTACCTGCAAATTGTGTCTAATGGCATAAGGCTGTCGGGCGCACGGGCAGCTTCTAAGGTTAGGGTTAAAATAGCAGTGTCAGAGCCTGCCTCCTATCTCCGTTCTATCTAGGCAGTCAGAGCATGGTGTATGTGTTTATAAATGGTGTCATGCCTGGCCCATACGTGGCCGTGAGAATCTCTACATATATATGTGGGCCTGCCAGGGCTACTGCATTATCTACTTCAAGCTTCAATGATTGGCAGTGCCATTGACCGTCATAATCACTCCGGTTTGTGTGACATCAAGCTCAACAGTGTAGCTCACAATTTCTGCCTTATGCCATAGAGCACTTTGGGTGGTTTGAGTAGACTGTTACGGACACCTGATTATCTATTATTATTTTCCTTTTCTTTTGCTTTTTAGACTCTTACGTGACTCGGCAATTCCCGTGACTCATGAATGACTCATCCAGTTCCCACTCTTTGTTTACCTCTGTTTATCTCGCCTTACCTATATAAGACTGCTCTCTCACTTGTAATTTTTGAACCTTGATCTAGTCAATACACCGGCTATCCAGCCACTTGCCTTGGTCTACTCGCTCACTCCTTGTCTGTGTTAATAAGCAGCCGCCTAGCCGTTACTAACATAGACGTGCACATTGAGCTCACATAAGACTGTGGACGCACTATTGTTGCACAAATGCGACCTACCAGCAGCTCACACTCTTTGACTAAGGGAGGCACCAGTGATGGGACTGTGAATAGTTATTTGTCTGATTGCCCTATGCCCCTGCTTCTCAACGTGTATACGAGTTCCCGTCCAATCCTTTCTCGGGTGACATTCACGAGCTTCATTAAGATGTGAGCCGCAAAGGCTGTCGATTGGTCAATAACCGTAGTGGGTTTTGCTGCATGCGGCCCTATGAGACTTCTGGAGGTTGAGATGAGAATCAATGACAGGTGTTACCAACTCTGGTTGATGCGCCGTAGATGGTGACTGCTGATTACCATGGATATATGCGGTGGTAAGATCCTAACACATAGTCGTTCGAGACTGGTGGCAATTTGTAAGTCACTCTCTAACTCTCTTTATTTCAGTCCCAGACCTGCATCTGCCAAAGCCGGTGGGACCTACACATAGAGACTGGGATAATGATTCAATCTCTATCTACTTGAACACTGCTGCCAGCCACACTCTTGATGTAGCTTTGCCACAACTGACATGATTGGCATAAAGATAAGATTATGGGCTGTGCACGCGCATCTTTGTGGCAGAATCCTATGTGACATTCTTGGTGTTTAAGACTGCACATGATACACCCGATTCCTGTCAGTCACTGTTGGGCAGTGATGATACTAAGACTAAAGCTCAGTCTCGTTTATAAAATTTTTGGTCCATACTACACTAACTAAAGTCCAAAGCGGGTGCCCAAGTCTTCCAGGGCGCTCTGTGCATTTGTCATGTGTAGTGCCTGATTCATCTCTTTCTTCCTGTTCACTACGGCCATCCCAATGGAATCCAAGGGGCTCATCTTGTTCTTTTGTGTGACTTTGAGTGCGTACATGGTCTTTTCACTACACATGATGGAGCCGTGCAGGTGATCACCGTCAAAGTTCCTGCTCGAGCCTCAGGATCAATGAGTGCACGCCAATGACTGTCTACTCTGAACTCACTATATCGCGTTATCGTCAGTACAAATATAGATTTTAAACTCTGTAATCTGGAAGTTTATATTGGTGCACTTATTACTGGCCGTCCCCTCAAAGTCCTTTGTCATCAAGAAGGTGACGGTGCTCTTATTATCACTGTCCTTATGGGTACGAGCAGAATAATTATAGCAGTTGTAGAGCATGGCGCCTTGGAACCCAAGACGTGCTGCGTCGCCAACTTTCGATATCTCAAAGATAGTGTTGATTTGCCGCGGGATGTAGAGGCGCAGGATGGAAAGGTGATCCTCTTCAACCGGAGAGTGCTTATCAATGTACATTTCAATGATAGCTAGAAGTGGAGGCACCTGTGCGACCGCAAACAGGCCAGTTATCCGATCATATTCACTGCCCACCCTGAGCATGGCACGCAAGGCCTTGGATGGGCCTATCGCTGAGCCTGGTGTGCCACCCATTGGGAGACAGACACCAGTGGCTGCCATGCTGCCCCAATTATGACTGCCCCCCAGCTTGCCACGGTCTAGATGACCAAGCCCATCGAGGAGCTTGTATAGATATGCCTGACACTGTACTTGCTCGGGCGTGAAGCCCTTGAATGCGACCACAGCCACCTAGACACAGAGTTAGAAAGCTACCACCAGAAGAGGAGATACTGATGTTGCGTGTGTGCAGTTGGCAGTCTGGCTCATCTATGATTGTGCGCACACAGAATATGAAAATATCACAACCACACCTATCATACACAAGCGGGTGATGCTTGTATGGGGTAAAGCCTGCCGTATCTGGGTCGATACACGCGAACTTGGTAGGAGACTGCCCTTTTTGGGGCTGTGGCTGACAGTTAGATCACTCGAGGATTTGGGACAATCAGACCACACCTTGGGCTTCATGCACTCCTGCTCCAGGTGTGTGCTGAAGATTACACCATTGAACTTCTCAAGCTCCACCGTAGAGGCTCGGTCCACAAGCACAATGCAGACACAGTGTTGACCCCATTTAGCAAATTAGTGCCGGATGCCCCGGTCAAATAATGCCCATTTAGAGCCAGTCCCCCCGGTCAAATAATCATATTTGTGGGCGTGGCTTCCTGTGGCTTTTCACTCGGCCATGACCAGAATGGCTCCCCCGGGGCTCCCTGGCGGATTCTGAGCGCTCCTGGGGTATATTGGCTCTTCATTTGGACCTTCGATCCTCCTGCTACTCAACTGCACATAGGCTGGGTTCTAGCTATGTGTCCTGTATCAATAATACCACCATGTATTGTACATCGGCTACCAAGAATACCCTTCTTTGTACATTGGGCCAAATGTATTACACATAGTCAAGCTTTCTGGGCGTAGGTCACTGGTACAGAGATACACTTGCGAGCTTGATGCATGTTAAGGCTCATCCTCGTCCATTGTATCCTGTATCATATCAGCTCCTTCCGAGCTGAGATCCCTAGCTAAATGTTGAGCATCTGCATGTGCAGCACCACGTATGTAGGCTTCGCGTTGAGCCCTGATTGCTGGGTACGTGTTCTGCACACGTAGAGCCTGTACTACCGCCGGTGTACGCAGCAGGCCAGCTGCAATACTGCGTACATGCTGAACCTCTTCATTACGCAGTTGGGCATGATGTATCAAGCGAGCTAATGAAAGAAGCGATTTTGCAGGCTGCTGAACGTTCTCCTCAATTTTAGTACTGCTGACAATATTGCTCAGTCAAGCAAAGACCTACTTGATCTGAGCTTTGAGACCGTTCTTGCAACCATTCATAGAAACTGGGCCCTCCTGTTGAGTATGTCAGCCGAAAGATGGCTCTCTGTATAGTGTGCACCACAAACCATCATGCATGTGATAGCCATCTGGAACGGCAGGTTGAAGCTCATGGGAACCTAGCTGACCATATGCCAGTATATTGAGCTCCACGCCCCGAGGCGGCCCATTGAATGCATGATTGACAGCATGACCAGCCAGCTCCGCAGCATTGCGATCTGATACTAAATCTGACTCAACAGTCCAGTCATGTACAACTAGAGAGCAACAGTTACTTACCCTCTGCATGCGGAGTATCGAGGAGACTAGATACTCCCACAAGGTTGTTGGCTATACATTGGCTGTGTTATATGATACACGATATGTGAGCATGCTTCAGTACATACCCGGCAAGATCATCTCATGATTGGACAAATCGGAGTCAGGAAACTGAGGAACGCGGTCATCTTCACTGTTATCTGATACTGCAGTCTCATCATTCTCTTCTCCAGTGGGCGGATACGGCGGGGTATATGGCATAAGAGCAAGACTTGAACAGATATCACAAGAGTGATGGAAGTCGAAAGCAAATCGAGAGATCAGTATCTTGATCATCCAGGAGCATAATCTCGATCCTGGATCATTAACGGCACACACTGCGCAACAGGAAGCATACTTCAAGCCCTTGATCACCAACTAAACCTGATCTGACAAAGGATCAGGCAGGTACACCATCGGATTAAGGACCTACAGTGAGTGTAGGTCCATGTGGCCACGGCGCGGCTCCCGGGGCCACGCGGGAGCCACGCTAATCTGCTTTGATAGATGAGATTGCATCGGATCTCAATCTAATCTATGCAATCTCATCTAATGGGCGGCCAAAGATATCTGATTGCAAAGATAAGGCTTATCTGGCTGAGATCGATCATGATCAGTGATTAAGATCGATCAAGGATGCCGCCGGCCACAGCGGGGCTTTTGTTGATCCCGCCGTGGCTGGCGGCATCCCGGCCGGGCCCCGGGCCGTGGCTTGAGCCGCGCGGGCCAATCACAAGCTCTAGATTCGACTTGACGCGGATTTGCAATGCGCGTAAGTCGCGTCTTGCTCTTGACCCTCAACCACCACCATCTGGAACCCGCCTCTTGCTTTACCGCATCTCTAGCGCTCATATACCAACAACCATGGCACCTAACTGGACTTTGACGAAGCCTCAGGCCGTCTATGCTGGAGTTGGGCTTGCGCAGGATATCATTACGCCCAAAAGCATCTGCGAGGGCCTCAAGCAGCACGCTAACGAGTACCGCGGCCACCCGGCCTACGAGTCCGGCCTAGTTGCACACTTCAAAGTTGCGATTGACGATCTTGTGAGGCGCCAGAAGCAGTTCCCCATGCATGATGAGATGGCTGGCGTGCTCTGGGAGTACTTGTTCACTGACTTGGTGCGTACTCTGCGCGCCCTGCGGCCACCGCACGCATTCAGACTGACTTTCTCGCAGAAATTCATCACCAAGGAGGTCAAAAAGCACGTTGCTTTTGCGCGCTGGACGCGCCGCATTTCGGACGAGTCAACGCGGACGCACGGCCAGTTCTCGCTCGCGTTTCAGAAGGAAATACTCCTGACGCCACCCAACGACTTCCCGGACTTCGACTTAACGCATCCTGCGTGGTACCTCGGCCCCACGCGCTGGTGGGGCTTATATGGTGCGTAACCTGCTATACTCACTAACTTAGTTGCTAACTTTACTCTAGAACATATATTTTACGCGCCCAACGCCCAGTTCACGCGCGAGACGCTCGCCAACGTCTTCTCGAAGAATATCGACGACGACGACGAACACATCCTCGACGAAGCGATGATCAGGTTCGGTGACGCCGAAGCCACGCCGGGAGCGTCAGCCACGGCGGGAGCGTCGGCCACGGCGGGATCCCGCGCGACCACTGCTCCTGCCGCGTCAACGAAAGGTGGGAAGGCGAAGGAGAAGGCTAAGGATGAGGACGAGTACGTTCATGGTGAGGATAGCGAGGAGGGGAGTGTCGCGGATGAGGATGAGGAGTTGGCTGCGGACGCGGAGGAGGAGGAGGAAGAGGAGGAGCCGAAGAAGGGAAAGAAGGGAAAGGGGAGGGCGAACCCGCGGACGCAGGGAAGGGCGAAATCGAAGCCAGCGGCTGGGAAGGCAACGGGCTTTCAAGTGCAGGATTCCGACGACGAGGACGGCAAAGCCAAGAAGCGCAAGACTCGCAGCAACAACTGGGGTCTCCCAGGCGGCATTGGACGTGATACCATCGACTTCGGCCTGACCTATACGCAGATCCTCGCGAAGAAGCCGGCCAAGGGCCCCCTCGACGCAGGATTAATCTGGAGCATCTACGAGATGCATGGCCTTGCCAGTGGCGAACTTCTGGAGCTTCCTGTAAGTCGTCTGCATGACGTCGCGTTCACGGCATACTGACATATGCATGTAGAAGTGCGACGAGTGCGTCAAACGCAACTGGCCATGCATCTTCCGCGGCTCGCAGTCGTGTCAAGGCTGTCACACGGTCAACGCAAAGTACAGCCACCAGCACACGACCTTCGTCGACGGCAACAACAAGCCGTTGAAGGCCAGCGACTACCGTCCTTACCTTCCCAGGCACATCGACATGGTGGAGCAGCTGCTCGCGGGCGCGTTCATGTCGAAGGAGCAGCATAGGGCCTGGTTGGATGATAAATGTGCGTGCTTTGACATGTTTCCGCATCGCACTAGTACTTACATACTGTTAGACCGCATCCATGACTCGCTCACGCCAGCTGGGCGCGCCTTGATCCAGGCTGAACAGCAACAGGCGGCTCTTTCGCACGCCACGCGCAAGGCCAGCTCAGCGCCAGAGACCGCTGCATCCGACGCACCGTCCCAGCAAGCAGATGACGACGGGCCTATGGACAATACAGCTGCTCTGGACGTGCCCATGGAGCTCGATGTTCCACACGACGCGTCACAGGATCGCAAGCGCGCCCGTTCTATCTCCAACCCCTCTGGAAACGCGCCAACAAGCGATCCGCGCCCGACAAAGAAGCTTAATATGCAGAACAAGTCCGCATTGTTGTCCGGAGCCACGGCGGGGTCACCTGCAGCCACGGCGGTCCCGGGAGCGTCGACAAGCTCAAGGTCGGTGCAGCCTGGTCAGTCAAGTGAGTGGGCGCCCCGGAAGGCTCCTGTCGTCAGTCTTCCGCCAGTTGGGACGGCGGCCGCGTCTGCCACAGCAGCTGAATACGCGCTCTTGCGTACGCGCATCGACGCACTTGAGCTGAGCCACCAGGCCCTCATCAAGTCCACGGACGAGTACCGGAAGCAGAACGACGCCAACTAGGATCGTTTCTGGGCACACATTACCTCAAACGACTTCTCCAACCCTCCGCCATCGCCCGCGCCCGCTTCAGTAGGCGTTGAGACTGCCAATGCGTTTGACATCAATGCATTGGCCGCTCAGCCACCGCGTTCTTCGTCTGTCGCTCCCGAATCGGCCGGATTTGGGCAATCCTCGGCGGGGAACGTCTACACAACGCCAACACATCTGCAGGCGCACATGCAGACGTACGTACCACCGCCCACGCAAGGCTCCATGGGGCCGCCTCCCCTTCCTCAGCCACAATCAACTCCGACTCCGACTCCGACCACGGCCGCGGCCAAGATTCCACTCCCACCCTCGCGTATCTCGACGCCTCACCCCACCGCCACCGCTCCGCCTACGCCCCAGGCCTACGCACACCCCTCGCTTTTCCCTGTGCCCGCACCATCTCATCCTGCGACTCACCAGGCAGCGGTTCAGCACGCGACATCTGGCGCGGCCACGGTGGCCACGGCGGCCGCGGCTCCTCCGGGGCTGCAGGCGAAGCCGACAAGCACGAGCAAGCCTGTTCATCTGCAGCCAACCAGTCTCTTTGCGCCGCAGATGATACAGAAGTCCACCAGCTTGCAGCCGCCCCACACGACACCCGACAGCATTGTCAGGTCCGCCAGCCTGCCCGGGAACGCACTTGATCGGCCATGGACACCTACTGAGACCGGAATGTGGGCGGGTGTCACCGCTCCGAAGCACGCAGCGGCCGCTTCAAGCAACTTTGGCTCCCCGGAGGCGTTGCACAAGCCCCAGCCGGCCATGGCTCGCACTGGTGGTGATGTCGAAATGGACGACGAAGCCGCGACGGTTCCCACTTTCAGTTCGGATGGTGACGATGATGATGGTCGTCCGGCTCGTTTTGGATCATCTGAAAGCGACGAAGAACCCCCTGCGCCGCTGCCCAAGAAGACCGCATCGCGTGCGAAGAAGCCCGTTGCTGTCGCCAAGAAGCGTGTCACCCGCCAGGAGCAGGACCTGGAGTCGGACGAGGAGGAAGACGACCAGGAGGTGGAGCCGGAGGAGCCGGTGGGGCGCGCGCTTAGGAAACGCCTGGGCGGTAAGGTTTTGTCTGAGAAGGAAGTCAAGGCCGCGGCAGCTGGGAGTGCGGCAACGTCGGCGGCTTCTGGATCAGCAGCCAGGGGCAAGACCGTGGTGAAGATCATGGCGACGCCCCCTCCTCCTGGTAAGCGCGGTGGAAAGAAGGGTGGTCGGTAATGGCATTTTCCATGGACTCATCCGCGTATATGTGCTTCTTGATTCTCAACTCTGTAATTGTACCGGTTCTCTTGACGACATCTTCACGGTCTGTCTAGTTCTCAATTATCGCCCGCCCCCCTGTACTATACCACACGATGCATTGTTCATCTTCATCATTGTAACCTGTATATATTAATTATACCTGACAGAACATCTTGTGGAATCAATGCACATTTGTTGCCTTTGGATAAGGCTTTGGTAGTATTTGATACGCCCTGTGCTGAGCAGAATTACTAGAATCAGGAGCCGATGTAGAGTGGCTTTATCTAAGTTGTGAACATATCTGAATACGCTCGAGCCACGGCAGCCACGGCAGCCACGGGAGCCCCGGGAGCCCCGGGAGCGCACCGCGTTCAATCAAGTCGATATTGAACCCCTGAATTGTCGAGTGTATAACGGACGTCCGGATAATTACATTTGCAACCCGTAGCTGTAGTAGTGGTAAATGAAGATTGTTATGCGCCTGGGAACTCGGGACGAAGACGTTTCGAAATTACATTCTTGTGACATGTGTTGAACTTCCCCTCCGCATACTTTGCCATATCCAGCCAGTGCTCTGCGTATTCATGTGCCATCGCAACATGAGCCCTGCTCCCCGCCATACGTGTACCTCGGCGCATCCAGGCGGAAGCGAGCGACTTGTAACTGAGGTAACACATTTGCATCTCGAACTTTAGAATGATCAACTCCTCTCTGCACCACGTCAGGGAGCATTTAGCGTTGATCCATCGCACCCGGAAGACTGTAACTGATGTGAGATGGGTTCTACAGCTGCAGAGAGTCTTAAATGCTCACACTCGGCCACGAATTCCTCGTCCAGTGCTCTCGCCACCTCTAGGTCCTCTGTCGTGCTCATAGGCACCATCCTCCAGAACCATGGTAGCTTGAACCGGCTCGCTGTACCTGTTGTGCTGTAGGTTTTGGTGGAGCAGTGAAGATCATCGGCCGTCAAAACACGATATTTCTTGCGGATGAAGGTAAAACGGTCGACAGTCGTAGAAGCGGAGTCCCATTGCAGTTTGACGAGCCTCTCGCGACAGATATTGTACACCTGTGCATGCACACGCACGACCTTTCCCTGTTGCTGAGCGTCCGCGTAGGCAAGGTTGAGCTGGTGGTAGCCCTGGTTGTGATTGCCGTTTCGCAACCGAATACGATGGAGGTATATGTTTGCTTGATCAACAATTAGCGTACGAAGCTGACCTAAAGTTTCGTCCATCCTCGCCAACAGGACACTAGCTTCAATCTCCATGGCGCGTCGTCGTAGCTGAACGTCATCGTCGTCACTGCTAGTCAGGGCAGGCGCTCGCCATGCTTCCGTCCGTGATGATGGAAGATCGACAGGCCTGAACTCGGCTCCAGGACGAAGAACTCGTGGACGAGGGCCGCGAGCCCCGGCCAGTCCCTCGGGAGCGCGTGGGTCGGGAGTGTCGGGATCATCCCATTCATCCTCTTTCATCAGCTTCGTCAGCTTTACACCCGTCAACCCTCCGGAGCCGGGTGGTCCACCGAGAGCCGCCTCCATAGCCGCATTGCATCTATTCACGTGGTTGTGTATCTTTGTTCGTGTAGCTGCAATGTTGCGACGTTCCGAGGGCGCCGTGGCCTGTTTCTCCAAGGCCTGAAGCTTCAGTCTGGAGATTTGTCAGCCTATCGTAATTGTCTAAATGGGGAGATGGTCTTACTGATCAACCTGAAGATCCACTGCGTCAATAACGGCCTTCACTATCCCCTTCCCCTCGGCATCGCCAGCTTCCTGTTCTAGCAATCGAAGCTCGGTATCCTTTCTAGACGGCACTGCCAGTGAAGAGTGTGAGACACGACAAAGACAACTTTGATAACTTGTACGGACCTTGCACCAGTGAGTTCTTGAAGAAACGATCGGCAGCTTCCGGGTCATTGATGCGATCGCACTCAAACTCCTGCCTGTCTTTTTCCCACTGCTCTACGTTCTCAGGCGAGGTGCAGAGTGAAAGCTGATCAACCAGCTTCTCTCGCTCCTTTTCCTCCGCAACGTACTTGTTGAACTTCTTCACGAGAGTATCAACTGCAGTAAATGTGAGTACCCTGCCCATTGAATACGACACAGAGACGCACCCATGGCAAGGTTCTTATGATGATTACTGTCAGACTCAAACATCGTGATGACTTCCTCCCTGTTAGCCAAAGACATGCCCCAGCAGAACTCGAGAATCTGGTTAAGCACACTCCAGAGTGTCTCAAGAATCTCGCCATCAACAATGCCGGTGCGACGGGCATAGAGGTTGGACCTGCGTCAATAGCACTCAAAAACATGCCCATAGATGTGCCAAACGCCCACACTTCCTAGCACCTCCTTGAACTCCGGCCAGGTGAGACGTGGAGAACGATTAAACCGTTCGCGAAGGTGAATACCGTAACGACACCATATGTCGTACAGCAGTTGAATGTGCTCGACGAGCGTGAGGTTTGTATTGTGCTTGAAGCTGTTGTTGAGCGTGACATCGGCAGGGCCAGACCTGCAAATTGAACTAATTAGCGAGAGCCACGGCGGGGCTCCGTGGCTGAGCCGGGACTTACGCTTCCCCAAGATCATAGTTGCATGTACCTCCTGTCAAGAACTCGCCATGTCTGGAGCAAGCCCACGCTCCTATTCCCTTGATGTCAGTAATCTTGTCGCGTGTCTTTCCCGTGACCTGTGCAGCAACATGCTTGTGGCAGGGTTTGTCCTTCGCAAACTGAAACAGGATCAGCATGCAGGACGTAGAGCCAACTCAGAAACGCACCAGAAGTTCCGCCTCCTTGCGGAGCTGGCAATCGGTTTTGACAGACGCAAGATCTTTCTTAATCTCATCGGGATCTTGAAACGCGCCAGTGCCCGGGAAGATGGGTACGTTGTTGCCAGGTTGGAGAGAGACCGTATGTTGTGCACTGAAATTCCCATCGTGAACGAAAGAGTAGAAGAACGCCCAGGAGTTCAAGTCGCTTTTGTAACCCTTTGGAAGGTTTCGCTCTGATGGACAGACAACACAGCGATGGAACAGACCGCCAGCAGGTGGTGGCTTCCAATCTTGAAGTGGCTGATGGGCATAACCATGCACAATCAAACTTTCGATCACGGTCCACTCCCGCATGACGCGGAGACCTTCCAAGTAGCGGTCCTACAACCAATCAGTGCTTGCTTTCACTCGGATAGGCAGACTGCGTACGGGTACCGTAGACGGGTGAAGTGGGCACGTGTTCCTTCTAATGCGACGCATCATGGCTTGTGGCGTGACCTTACACTCCAGGCGGTCGATTTGAAGGTAGGAAAGGGCCTCGAGAGTAAAGCACGTGCCGGGGTTCGTCGGAGTAGTAGGCATAAGACCGCCAAGTTGTATGAGTTGTTTGTCGAAGGGCATGTTTGCACCGCCACCTGAGCACTTGCAAATTGCAATACTGTCATGGTTTCACCCCATCAGACCCTATTATTTTCCGGCATTTTCCGTTATTTACCTTTGTTTACATTCTGATTTCCCTTATAAACCCCCACTCCCAGGCTCTTGTTCTGCAGCTTTTCACTCTGTACCTACCACCTAGGGTTGCCTCTATCAATGCACTACCTTGTCTTCATCTCTTGAGCAGCCACAAGGGATCCTTCACCCTCCTAGAGGCATCCCTAACAAATACCCAGTTGATGGATCGACGTCTTGTCCACGATGACCATGACGGGAAGCCCACGGGGATCCTTGCGAATACGCGCCTGACGTCCTCTTGCTCTGTCTTTCCCATCTCCAAGCCCATCGGTACCATCAAACGCCCCATCTTCACCGCTGTTCTGACGCCCATCCGCGTCACCCTCGTCCGCATCAGGCTCTCGAGCGTCACTGGGCAGCAGGTCATTGTCGGGGTCCTCAGACATGAACGTAGCCACGGCGGGGCTCTCGGGGTCATCAGCTGAGCTGTCTGTATGGGTTGTGGGATCGGGCTCTGCATCCATAGCTGTATCATCGCTTGCGTCCAGAACATCATAGTTTGGTGGAACTTGGGCGTCAAAGTCGCTCGGCAGTGCGAACTCGCCAGGACCATAACCTGGACACATGTCTTCGCCACAGGCCATGGGACAGAGCTGGATGAAGACTCCTGCGTCACGAAGCGACGCGTCCATGTAGCGTGTGCCAACGAGGTATCTGACACGGTGGTAGGGATTAAACATGTGTCTTTTGCGTAGACAGCGCGTGCACAAATCGCGACCCCTTTGACAGCCATCGCACCTCCAGAATGCTGTACCCTTAGAGCCGCACTCGTTGCACACAAGGTCCGGAGGGGGAGGACCATAGCGCTCGATCACGCAGTGGCTGTAGCGGGCGGCAGTGAACCCATTATCCTTTGCGAATTCACGCAATTGCTCGACATTAGTCTTTACTCGCAAATCAGTTTCGTGAGACAGAATCAAAACGGACTGTACATACGTTTTGTGCGGCCTGGCTCTTCTCGCTTGTCTCGTATCCATCCTCAACATTTGGAACAGGTTCTGGCAGGCCCGTAAAGCCAGCCATCACATCACCGTCAAGGTCTTGCATGAGATGTGTACTCTCGTCGATGACACCAAACTGACGAGGACCCAGTGCCTTTGCATGGCCGGGACGCAGTGCAGGCTGCCCGAGAGCAGGCTGAGAGGCGGATTGGCCAGTCTGAGAGGAGGATCGAGAAATGCCAGAACTGCCGGCAGCAGCATGAACCCGGCTTGTACTCTTAGCCGTGTCAACACCTCGTAAACGGTCATTCTTAGGCATCAAGGAGTTCAATGTGCCACGTGTACGCTTGGGCTTTGGCTCGACATCAGCAGAAAGACCAAGCAGAGGCTCCCTAGTGTGCTTTGGAGCTGGTCTAGCTGCATTTGCCGCCCGAGTGTTGTTTGTAACAGAGTATTGATAGTGCTGCCCGTTGTTATCAGCCATTGAGGTAGTGGTGGATTGGTTTAAGTCTCAATTTACGAAGTGAAAGACATGCGGCACGCATCGTGGTGATCGGGGTAGCATTTTCAAGCGTCTCGTGGCTCGGGCCGCACCGTGGCTCGGAGCTTGCCGGGGCTCGGAGCCTGCCGGGGCTCGAGGCGTGGCGGGGCTCCAGCCAGCTTGTCGCTTTGCTTTCTAAGGAGCCACATGCTTGGATTCTGTCCCATGAGGCGGCCGTGCACAGCGCAACGTTGATAACATCGTCTCCGAGTAACCACCATCTCTACGACAATATGCCAGCCGAGCACAATAGCCATTCCACCAACTCACCGATGGAGGATGACAGCGATGCATCTCCAGACAACTTGAAAACGTACGGGGAAAAGGCCACCATGCACGTCAGCACACGACAGCTCAAAGTTGCGCAAATCCACGTGTTACAGCCACTGATTGAGCAATACATTCGAACTCAAGGTGCTGAGCGCACCGAGTTCGTGATGACTGTGCATACAGGCAAGTATCCGCATGCAGAACCACAGTTGAGGCTTTATCACAGGCCTTCAAATCCGTCTGGGACGGCGAGCAAATTGACTGGGAAACTCCCACCACTTGGCCCAAGAAACGAGACTCGCCTTTCCGTGTAGTATACCAGGTGCGTCGCATACCTCTCCATGTTTTGCTATCTGACACCATGCATTAGGCGGTGAGGAATTTCTTTGCCGAGCGTGCCAGGATGCAGGATGTTGTTGTCAAGTTACCGGGAAAGGGAAAGGGAAAGCCTGACTGGAACGCGATGACTGTTGCCAACACGGTATATCATGCCGCCATTGTCAATCTCGTTAAGGACGTCTCTGGATTGGAGCCGCAGGGAAAGGGGGAGAAGGAACCAAACAAGTTCTGGCTCATGGAGTATAACAAGGCTTGGGCAGCGCTCTTTCACTCACTGGACAAGGAGTCCAGACAAGAGCTGGAGGTGTTGGCTAAGCAGTGGAACAGAACCGGTATCCCAATCTATTTGAAAAACAAGTGCGTGCGAAAACATTCCATTCCGCACTTCATCAAACCGTACTCGTTATACTGCCTTATACGATAACTCTCTGCGCATCCGTATGTGACACCTTGAACTGACTGTCTTTCAGAAAGTTCGCTCGTTCTTGCAAAACCTTTCTTCGTCACATCGCCATTATCTGTTTCAAGCGTCACGGTGTCTATGTCTATTTCTTTATTGTCGGAGAGCCGGGTTCCAATATAGGAGCGGAGATGTATGTCCATTTGACGTCTCTTGATGAACAAGTCTATTGAGCTAGGCTGTTAGTATGGAGTTTGGTCCCGAGCTCGGACTCGGCATCAATCAATTTCAGGACGACACCGTCAGCAACACTCTTGATAGGTTGCAGCAATTCGTCAAGCGGAACGCAGGTAAGTACAATGGACACTTTGTTTGTCGACAGTCACTTTGTCTTTTATCCCGTGGCTCGGCCGTGGCTTGGCCGCGGCTGCCCCGTGGCCTGGCCGTGGCTACGCTGTAGAGTGTCCATTGCCTACTGTCATTGAAGGAGAAGGACCGTTCCAACATTGGGTTGCTAACTGCCACCATATAGGCCTGCAAAACGTTCCCGAGAAGCCCGCCAAGAAGGTAACCGCAAAGTTCAAGGAGATAACATCGTACACGATTCCCAGTGAACGTCTAGTCGGCCACGACGAACTTCAAGTCCACGATTCCGATTTTGTATTCTCCTCTCTTGAGACTGAGGCCAAGTCTGTGCTATATAACATGTTCCGTTACGCGCATGGTATGCTGATTTTCCGGTCCGTATATTGTAATATGGCCTGACACTCGCCAGCCAATATATCCAGCCGCCCGCCCGGCCAACTGGACGTTCCATGGCTTGCAATAAAGCGTGGCGATCTCATCGACAAAGACAAGTACTTTCCTCCCGGCTGGGTACATGACGACGTCACACAAGCTCCAAACGCCAAGTGCCTCGAGTTCATTCACCACATTCGATCGCTCGGAGAGCTGCGGTTCCACCACTATCTCATCCGTAATGGCTCACCCGTCGAGCACAAGTACCGCTGGTGGTCCATCGACAACGAGGAAGACGGTAGCGCAGGACCAACAGCCACAGAGGAGGCAGCAGCCGCTCGGGCTTTGGCGGCGCGCCCAACCAATGCCCCCCCTGCCCGTGCTGTAGCTCACAACTCTGGTCCTCCTGCGGGAGCTGCGGGACCTTCTTCCCCAATTGGCCCAACTATCTCAGCCAGCCAGCGTACAACGGCTGTCCTTGGTGGCAAAAGAAAAGGCGTTGAGCGTCGCAGTCCGTTTGGGAGTGCTGGCACAACCGAGTTTCACTCGTCTTACCTAAATCTCCCTGAAGACGAACAGATGCCCAGCTCCTTCCTCGCGGCCCCGGCGCCTGATCCCGATGATCTGCTTCCCGCCGAGGCAGATATCCTTCATTCTGACGCACCTTGTTCTGTTCCTCAAAATCCCGAAGCTCTTGCGCAATGGAGCCACATGCAAACCGCCCGTCTCACCGACCATATCCCTGTCGGAGTACTTAGGGTTTGCATAACAGCTCTATCTGAGCTTCCGGTATGTCTGGTGTCTGTCACGTTGCGATCAGTCAATATACTGACGGCAGTGTAGCTGGTTCATAACCATTTCTATCCCTCTCGCAACTTTCGCAAAAGTAGCTCCCCACTCAGGCTCCCTCAAGTGCTTACTTGGCAAGCTCGGAAGGTCGACCATCTTGTCGAGGTTGACGGGATGAATGACGTTGCTGCGTTCCTTCGCCTTGCTCCCTGGCGCTTTGTATACAAAGGGCCAGGACATGTTCTCAGGCGTCGAGATGGCGTGGCTAGTCATCCTCGCGTTCTTGATGTACGGTCACGGAGTTCCCCTCCTCGGAACGGATCCTCCAATCAGCTACAGCGAGCTCTCAACCATTGCCACAGGCTTTCGGGGCGATCTTCGCAATGCAAAGACCGACTTCGAGTACCCAAGCTACAGCCCCAGCATGAAGTATGCCATTGCTAGCAGTCGTGAGGGCTTTCTCTACACGCATTTTCAGCATGTCGAGTCCCTGTACAACCTGCTAAAGCTTGTTCAACGTCTGGTATGTCATTGCGCGCCTCCTGATAACTCGTCACTAATGTCATGCAGCCTCCAGCTGAGTTGGAAGGTCCATCTCTTCTCGCTGCAGGCACACAGTTCCCATCGTGGCAGTCGCCTCGCTGCGGACTTCCAACATCGCTTCATGAAAGCCCATCAATCGTCTCAACGTTATCAGCAGAGTTAGAAGGCCCATCTCAATTTGTCAACCCGTCTACTGGCGCTGTCGTCACGCGCGAGGAGGCTTTGGAGATACTCCTAAAGGTTGCATGCTTGTACAGCGATCTGCAGTGCATCGAGCAGGAGAACTGGGACGCTCAAGGCTGCTTAAAAAAGTCGTATCTGCGTCATTCAGAAGCGATTCTGGTGCTGCTCATTGAGGAGTGGGCGGAGCGCGAGATCGAGGCGGTGGAAGGCGCCCTTGGAGTGGAGGCTGTGGGTGACCCGGACGATGCTTGGGCACTCTTGGACTACGACGCGAACGTTCAGCACGATAACGTGCTGCCTGAGCCGGATGTAGCCCCGGCCGGTCCACGTGGCCCCGGCGTGGCTAGCAGCTCTCGCGTGGCTTTTGCAGAGGACGACACGCTACACACAGCTGGTAGCTCGGCTCCCGCGGACACAGACGTCGCAATGCCTGATGTCGAGAGCCAGCCAGCCCCGGCCGTTCATGTCCGACATCGTACAAATCGCGAGCACGCTCCGCCTGATCCAGTCTACCTTAAAGCCGCGCAAGCCATGGAGTTGGACGAAGAGGACATTCGCGCGCGGACTGCGCAGGCCCAGCGCATCCCCACCAATCAGTATGAGCAGAACACAATGGTCGCTTTGGAGATTCAGATGCGTACTGGGGAAGACAGTAGGCGCAACGCTCAAATCGCCGACGCGCAGCGAAAGGAGAACTTGGCAAAGTATGGAACGACGAAGAAACCAACTCCTCCAAAGCAGGCTGTCATGATTGCCCTGCCTGAACTTCCTCCCATTGCTCCTGACGTACCGCCTCCGTCGCCTCCACCTGCTGTTGTGGCAA